GGGACTCGATCCCAGGACCCTGGGATCATGACCTGAGCCGAAGGCAGACGCTTAACCATCTGAGCCACCCAGGCACCCTAAAAATGGTATTAAAGTAGAAATGTGAGGAATTATAGATAAAGTTTACTGAATATCTATTATCTACTTATTGCTGTTTTAAGAACCTTCCACGTAGCAATGTATTCATGGACTTTCCAAAAAACCCTATTTTAGCATTATTTCTATTTTACAGGTGAGAAAATTGAGGTACCCAAAGGTTGACAGATAAGTTTATGGTCAGGGGTAGAGGCAGGATTTGATCCCAAGTGGTCTGATTCCTTTGTCATGATGGTTATGTCTCTGGGCTGTGAGACCAGCTGCTTGAACTCAAACACTGTTCACCAACCATGTGTGTTGATCAACTGTTTCTTATGAAAACGGTCGAAGCTACGGGGCCATATGAAATTTTGCAAAAGGTAAATGTGAATATCGTTTGGAATTTAGTCAAATTAGGCATCATAGCTTCCACAGACAACTAAACACCACGTTTTCTTTTTAAAAAAAAAAATCTGATGGTGGTCAAAGGCATTATGATGCACTGCTTCTCGGAATTCATAATGTATAAACATTCTATCCGGAAACCCAGAAAAAAATATTTTTTAGAGAGTTTGCCAAAATGTCCACAATAGCCAAACTATGGAAAGAGCCAAGATGTCCATCGACAGATGAATGGATAAAGATGATGTGGTGTAGGGGTGCCTGGGTGGCTCAGGTGGTTACGCATCTGCCTTCGGCTCAGGTCATGATCCCAGGGTCCTGGGATCGAGCCCCGCATCGGGCTCCCTGCTCCGCAGGAAGCCTGTTTCTCCCTCTCACACTCCCCCTGCTTGTGTTCCCCCTCTCGCGGTGTCTCTCTCTGTCAAATAAATTTAAAAAAACAAAGAAGATGTGGTGTATATATATACAATGGAATATTATGCAACCATCAAAAGGAATGAAATCTTGCCGTTTGCAAAGACGTGGATGGAACTGGAGGGTATTATGCTGAGCGAAATAAGTAAGTCAGAGAAAGACATGTATCATATGATCTCACTGATATAAGGAATTCTTAATCTCAGGAAACAAACAGAGTGTTGCTGGAGTGGTGGGGGGTGGGAGGGATGGGGTGGCTGGGTGATAGACACCGGGGAGGGTATGTGCTATGGTGAGCACTGTGAATTGTGTAACAGACCTGTACCTCTGAAACAAATAATACATTATATGTTAAAAAAGAAGAAGATAGGAAGGGAAAAATGAAGGGTGGGAAATCGGAGGGGGAGACGAACCATGAGAGACTACGGACTCTGAGAAACAAACTGAGGGTTCTAGGGGGAGGGGGGTGATGGGTTAGCCTGGTGATGGTATTAAGGAGGGCACGTACTGAATGGAGCACTGGGTGTTATATGCAAACAACAAATCATGGAACACTCCATCAAAAACTAATCATGCAATGTATGGTGATTAACATAACAATAAAATAAAAAAATGAGAAATAGAGAGTTTGCTAAACCAACACTTTGAAGCACCCTTAGTTTCTCAAATTTAAAGGGTTATTTTTTCCCTTTTTATGGCTTATGTCTAGATAGTACTTTGCTCCATCATATAAAGGAAGATCAGTATAGTTTTACTTACTCCAAAATTCCATAGAACTTCATCATATCCTTAATATGATCCTTATATTCTATATATTGTCCCATGTTTTCTTCTTTCTCAATGGACTCGAGGATGGGTGTATTAACAAAGCCTGGGCAAATGGCATTCAGTCTAACACCACTGTTCATGAGATTAGCTGCCATCTGTGGATTAGAAGTAGAAGGTTGCAGGTTTCAGTTGCTTTGTAAATGTATACCATGGGACACACTGATAATTAAAACCATTTCAAAGACTCTGATGTGAAAAATACTAGTCAGATATCCTTCTAGTGATCTAACAATGACAATGTTAAGGTTGACTGGTAGCAGAAAATAAAAGAATACATACCTAAATTGTTGAATTAATTCTGGAAAGCCTCAGCTAATTAATTCTTTAAAAATCAATATTGCTGGGAAACTCCTGAAAATACTTGATTATCTAAGCTGCTCTTATCTACTGAACTCTGCAGGAAGCTAAATGTAAAAAGCCGAGGCTCAGAATTAATATCTCTCAAGTTTGCTTTTAAAGATTAGGATTGTATATCAAGAGACTATTTCTTTAAAAAATACTGTTAGTGGAAAGTTTGGGACTCTGATTGATTATAAAGATACTCTTGATAATATGCACTATGTGGAAGGCAATTTAAGTATTTTCAGACTAGCATTCTTTGGCTTAATTTCAACCTATTGATTTTATTTGAACTGTTTATAAAACAGTTTATAAAACAGTTTATAAAACTGTTTATAAAACAAATGTAGTCAATTATTTTTGGATTCCATTAACGTACTGCTAAAGTTCATTTGTAACCCCCAAAATCAACAATCATGGATCTTTTGGGGTCATTTATGGACAAGCACAGAGCAAATGTTCCAACTAAGGTCAAAAAGATGTTCTTGTTTCAGCTCTTATACTATAAACAAATGTCCTCTTTGTGATATATTTAGTCTATCTTTTTCCCATTTTTGTGCCTTTTATTGGTGACTTTGCTATGTAAAACGCCTCCCAAGCATAGTGGTGAAGTGCTGTCCAGTCTTCCTAAGTGAGGGAAGGCTGTGATGTACCTTACAGAGAAAATTCATATGTTAGATAAGCTTCATGCAGGCATGAGGTGTAAATGCTGTTGGTCATGTTAATACATATCAAATACAATACATATTAAATAGGCTGTCTTTACACAGAAATATACAGAAGACTAGACTATGTATAGATTGGTTGCTCAAAATGCTGTAACCAGAGGCTCGAAGGAACTAAACCCCGTATTTCCCCGAGGAGCAACAGTTCAATATTCTCTACTGCAGTGTTGGCAAGTGATTTGATAGAGCTAACTACCACAAATAATGAGAATTGACTGTACAGATTTACATTCTTGTCATTGTAAATAGGAGATTTTTGGTATTTAAAAATTATTTATTTTTTTATTTAAATTCAATTAGCCAACGTATGGTAGATCATTAGTTTTTGGTGTAATGTTCAATGATGCATTAGTTGCATTATAACACCCAGTGCTCATCAGAATTATCTGGTTTTGTAATAGCTTTATGTGTTCCTTAAAAGTTGAATTAAAGATTAAATCTCTGCAAAGTAAATAAAAATTTCCAATCAACTTGAATTAAGAGCATGAGAGCTGCTTATCTTCTTTTTTGACTGAGCATTTACCGTTCATGCATCTACCTTCTCTCTCCCCATTTCTTCTCTATCTATTTCTGTCTGGTCCCTCTCTTTGTCTCACCTAGATTAATCACAGCAGATTCCCCCAACTCTTCTATCCCCTTCTACACCTGTCCTCTCTAATATATTCTCTTAACAATAGCCAGAATGGTCTTCTGAAAATGGAAACCTGATCTTGTCACTCCTTTGCATAAAAGACCCACTGGTGCTTGCATTTCGAATCAAAGCTCATTCCTGTGGCCCATAAGCTGCTTTTTGTCTGGCTCCGGCTTCTGACTTTCCCCTTGCTCCTCAGGTTCCACTCAAAATGCCTCCTTTCGGTTAACAAAAAGGCAAGCATTCCTCTGTACACCTGTCACACGAGGCCCCGTGGAAACATCATCCTTGACTACTCTCTCTGGTAAATTCTGGTCCCATCCCTCTGTGCTCACCTTTTTATCATATCTCCAGTGATAAGTGATACCTAGAGCACACTACATATTCTACTCAAGGAGGCCTAAAGTTAATAATTTTTAAATTTGGAGTCAATTTTAAAAATAAAGAGTGTTGGGCGCCTGGGTGGCTCAGTTGGTTAAGCGACTGCCTTCAGCTCAGGTCATGAACCTTGAGTCCCTGGATCGAGTCCTGTGTCGGACTCCCTGCTCTGTGGGGAGTCTGCTTCTCCCTCTGACCCTCCCCCCTCTCATGTGCTCTCTCTCTCATTCTCTCTCTCAAATAAATAAATAAAATCTTAAAAAAAATAAAAAAAAATAAAGAGTGTCTTCCCCCCCCCTTTTTTTACCCTTAGGATATTTTTCCATAACGCATCTGTGTTTAGGACCAACTTCATTTTTTTTTTTTAAAGATTTTATTTATTTATTTGAGAGAGAGAGAATGAGAGACAGAGAGCACGAGAGGGAAGAGGGTCAGAGGGAGAAGCAGACTCCCTGCCGAGCAGGGAGCCCGACGCAGGACTCGATCCCGGGACTCCAGGACCATGACCTGAGCCGAAGGCAGTCGCTTAACCAACTGAGCCACCCAGGCGCCCAGGACCAACTTCATTTTTAAAAGATCTCTTCTTCATTTGCTCCTTGATGTGATCTGAAAACCATCTTTTATAACAAAGATTAAAGGAAAATTTACTTTTCTCTCTTTAACCCAGATGTACTGAATTCTGAATTTATTCTCCTCTGCTTTATAGAACTTATGTTTCATATATGCACAGAAAGAAAACAAGAGATACTGTGGTAGTTAGGTCCTCACCGCTGCTGAGCGTGTGAATCCAATTATGCCGTGCTTTGAAGCACAATAAACAGGCTGTTGTGCCACAGGCATGAGCCCTGAAACAAAAAATTTAAAAAATTTCACTAAAAAATAAGCAGATAAAAATCCAATAATTGCTATGCAATTGAGTAATTCGTGCCTATTCCATTTGAAGCTTATTCTACAAAATACACTACAATAATTACCAGACATTTTTCCTTCTGTGATCTCTACTATACTGGCCAGAATTGATGGTATGTAAGTTATAGCCTAGGAATGAAGCCAAGAGTGATATGTAAGTCCTTCTGTCTCCCTGACCCTCTGTCAAGAGAAGTAAATGTTATCTGAAACATAAACAGAACCACCCTTAAACCCAGTAAGTTACCACCAATTTTCAGTTTTTAAGTCTTGATTTTAAAAAAGTGTCTATTCTACATTTTGTAAGACTTCCAAATGGCTGAAGTATAAATTTCTGAAGTGAGACTTGGAGATGACTTGTCTTTGCTTTAGATTAGTATGCATTTCCCCATTGCCTATTGTACTAAATGATACCTCTAAAGTGTTTAAGAAAAGTCAAAGTAACTTCTTTTGATTCTGAGCTGTAGTAGGTGCCTAGATCTTCTTGCCCATGACTTAGGTAAAGAAAGCCAGAAATTAAAAAAAGAAAAGAAAACCAGAAATAAAAATGTACGATCCTATTTTATTTTATTTCATAATTATGTACTCTAACAGAATTCAAGCAATTTTAGAATTGGTTTAATTTTCCACATATACGCAATAGTAACTGCTCAGGTGTATGATTAAATTCATGGCTTGCAGAAATAGTAGTATTGTAGCACACATAGCATCTTTTCTCCCCTACCTCCTGGCCCAACCCCCCAAAAGAAACAAAACAACAGGAAAAACCTTTTACTGAACTGTTACTATCAAGTTTGTTTCTCATCATTATCAATTCTCTAATCAACAGTGACACTTTAAACCAGAGCCATTCGTATATTTCAGTGTTTAACAAATTTCCCCCATTAACTCATTTTAACATTTTTTAAATTTGTGATATCTGAGTCAAACAGTGATCTCTGATTACTATAATGTTATTAATATCAAATGTCACGTTAATAATACTAAATTATTCTGCTGAGACACGTTCATCTCCACCCAGCTAACTAGTCCCAGAGCACCACCAATCAGTTGAGCGTGTTGTGCCAAAGTTCAGCAATAAATGCAGACCTTAACCACTCCCTGGGTGCCTGCCAGGTCTCAATTTATAAAGTATGTTTGCTCAAGAGCAGTTTAAATCCCTGAGGATGGTAGATCACACATAGTGCGTCCACCCGGTAATCTCAAAGTACTGTACCATGTGGCTCTCTTGTCGTGGTTGTTGTTTCTTAGGTTAAGTAAAATGTGTAAGTTAATTAAGTTCATCGGTGTCAGTCAACAAGAATTTATGATGCCTCCACAGGGTACACAGGTGTGTTAGGGGTTGGGGACAAAGGGAGTAAGTAGGTGCAGCCAGACATTGCTGTGCTTGCTCTTCTAAGTTGGTCGTTGTTTTGCCTCTCCTTAAAGGTTTACGAGACAAAGGCAGTTGGTTGGAGGATGGTGTTCACGGACTGCAGGAAATGCAGAATGAACCTTAGTCAGAGATAAGCTGACGCAGCCACAGAAACAAAAAAGCACAAGGACACCGTTCATAAATGTTGTTAAAGATGAATTCGGAATGAATTTTTGTTACTTGTGCGAAGGTACTGAACTTCTGAACCCATGCTAGTTCAAAGTGTCACGGAAGTGAAATAAATCAAATGGTGTTAGGTTGGTTCCATTTAAGAAGCAAGCACAAAACACAGACATTCCTCTAAAGACACAACTGTAAAGGCGACCAGAATGTGAAAAATTTGTTTGCATTTTTAAAGTGGCATTTGGTTTTATGAATCTTGTTAACATTATAATGACATTTTCACTGCTATCCTGCAAAATGTCTACTTATGCATTGCTTTCACTTTCTGATATTAGATCAAAGCCTGTATAAATCAGTATCAGACATTCAGAAATCGTGGCCTTTTTAATTTTTTCACAGCCTTTTTGAGGTATAACAGACATACAATAAACTACATATATTTAAAGCGTACAGTTTGATAAGTTCTGACAAATGTATACACCCATGAAACCATGACCACAATCAAGATAATGAACGTATCCATCACCTAAAATCTCCTCATGCCCCTTTGTCATCTCTTCCTTCTGCTTTTCCCCTCCCTCTAGGGAAACACTGATCTGCTTTGTGTCACTGTAGTTTGCCTTTTCTAGAAGTTTATACAAATGTAATCATATATTGTAAACTCTTTTGGTATGACTTCTTTCACTCAGGATAATTATTATGAGCTTTATCCATGCTGTAGTGTATATCAGTAGCTCATTTTTCCTTTCTTTTTTTTTTCTGAATAGTATTCCACTGTAAGGATATACCCATCAGTTGCATATACATTCACCTGTTGATAGATATGTGGATTGTTTCCACTTTTAGGGTATTACAGATTAAGAGGATTCTTTTTTTCAATTACTTAAGCAAGTCGTAGTTAACTTAGGTAAATAGAGATTTTTTTCTTTATCTTCCCATACATATAGATTTTCACTGTTGCTTCTTATGTTTCAAACAGGTTGGGTGGGTTAGTGATCCGCAGTGCTTTCCCCCCAGCTTGCCAATGGACAATCCAGGTGGAAATTTACTATCTGTGCCTCAGCTTGCTATTGTGAAAAGAAGACTAAATGGGTAGAGAAAGGCTTTATTTTTTTTAAGGTTTTTGTTTTTCTTTTTAACAATGATTTTGTTCTGAATATTTCAGAAATCCAACATTTTCTCTTGGATCTCAAGAGCCACTTTTCTTTTACACACAATGCTATTGCTATTGTGGTTTAGCGTCAGTATTTTTAACCGTACTTCTGTTACCTTAGCCCTAAAACACTAATATATGTTGTTTCTGTGTGCTTCAAATAAAAATGTCTTCTGAGGCTGGGAATCAGGGTCAGCAGGTAGAATTGTGCAGGGTGTGTATGTTATGATTTTGGAAACACCATTAACATGGTAGTGTAAATTTTGCCCTCCCCTGCCCCCAAATTCCTACAGTTTACAACCTGCACAACTAGACATGGCAGCCGTCTCTGGTAGAGGAGGTTGACCAAACAAAAGAGACTGTGAAGGAAGAACCAGTAGAGGTAGGAAGAAAACAAGCTAAGCACCCTGTCATAGAAATTAAAGATAGTATTCTAAGAAGCCTACAGTGGTCACTGTTATCAAGTGCAGAATCAAATGAGAATCATTCCCCTTGAGATATGAACATGTCTCAGTATCACTTATCTAAAAGTAATACCCTTGGTCTCACATTTTCCTCCAGCTACAATTCCATATCTCTTGACAACACAAACTACTGAAAAGAGTTACTCTATTCATTGTCTCAACTCTCCTTGCTTCCCATTTGCTGCACAACTCACTCTACCTGGGCTTCCATTTCACTGCTCCAATCAAACATCTCATGACCAACACTTTCTTATACTATTTAACCACTCAAAAATGTCCTTTTAATCAAAGTGGTCAAGAGGGACTACAGCATAGTAGTTTGGATTTTGGGTGCCAGGATGGCCGAATTAAAAAAAAATTTTTTTTTTTCAGGGAGGACATTTTTTTGAATCTTTTAAAAAATTTATTTGAGAAAGAGAATGCATGCGAGCACAAACGGTGGGTGGGCGGCAGAGGGAGAGGAGAGAGGAAGAAGCAGACTCCCTGCTGAGCAGGAAGCCCCTTGCGGGGCTCGATCCCAGGATCCTGGGATCATGACCTGAGCCGAAGGCAGACGCTTAACTGACTGAGCCACCCAGGCGTCCCCCGAGTTCAAATTTTGAATCCGCCACAATGAGCTATGTGACCTTTGAAGAAGTGCTGGCTACCAAGGTGTTTTTCTTCTGTGGCCTAAAGCCATCATAGCAGCTGCTGAGTCTCCAATGAGCTAATTTACATAAAATACTTCAAGTAGCGCCTGGCACATAATAAACTCTACTATTCGCTATTATTTTATATAAATATTTTCCTTAAGAGGAAACATCCCCAAATCTTGTTTTATAGACTTATTTATCCACATTATATCTTTTTGTGAGAATGTACATTCTGAACTAAAATGCCACAAATCTGGTCCAGTGTCCTAACTTTCTTTGGTTTTTGAACTGTGGCAAACTGTGGGCTATTAATCCCAATTGAAGAGGAGTTACAGAAGTACATTCATTTAAGATCTGTGTGCTTAGTAGTACCTTTCAAGTACAAGGTATAGGGAAGTAGTCTTTAAAATATACTCTATTGAGGGGCACCTGGGTGGTTCAGTTGGTTAAGCGTCTGCCTTTGGCTCAGGTCATGATCCCAGAGTCCTGGGATCGAGCCCCGTGTCGGGCTCCCTGCTCAGTGGGGAGCCTGATTCTCCCTCTGCCTCTGCCCCTGCTTGTGCTCTCTCTCTTGTTCACTCTCTCTGAAATAAATAAAATAATATATACTTTATTGAAATGTGTCAGCCTAATGGGAAGACCCCTGGTGCAGAGGGAGAGTAGAAATTCATTGGCTGAACTGCTAGATCAGTGCCTGTCATCCGACTTCAAGGGACTTTTGCCAGTATTAGGACTAAAGGACCAGCTGCTGGAATTAATTTGGGTTTTTAACATCTTGCAAATTAATACCTATATGCACAGCGTCTTCACGTTAAAGGACTTAAGAACAACAACAAAACAAAGGATTGTGGCAACGAGACGGCAGTCTCCAAAGAAATGACATTTTGTTTAATATTGTGAGACATTTCTTATTAGTGCTTAAAAATGGATACCTTATATTTAAAATTTAAGGTCAAGAATAGAGTTTTTATCTCTAAAACTCTCTATCTCTAAACCCTCTAAAACTTTTATCTCTAATACTCTAGACCCAGCATGGTGCAAAGTTCCTTACAGAATCCCAAAATGACTCTCTCTAAAACATAACATGTCTAATTAGTTACAGGATTATGTTTATCATAACAATAGATTTAGAAAAAAAATCAATAGGAGAAAT